GCCTGCACGTACACTCCCCGATGCAGTGTAGTGTTTCTCAGTCTGTAGGCGTGGTCGGATTTCTAATCTCAAATTCAAACAGCATCTCCATATCTCCACTGGAGTAGTTCGTAGGATCCATCCGAGAGTTCGTGCAATATGCATACATGTAGTAAAGGTTGCTGCAGTAGTTCTTTTCGTCTGTTGAGGCGGGCTGCATCACCCCGCCGGTAGTTCATCATGTTGCGCCAGTCGCATCTAGTCCTCGTCTGCGACTTGGACCATCTGCAAACGACGATCGCTGCGCTTAGCGCGCAAGTAATCGTACAGCATCCCTCCGCACGACAGGTTGGACGTGGCTCCCACGTGGGTTCATCATAACCAACCCATTTCACTTGGAACTCTCTGACCGCGCGTTCAGTGCCCGTCGAGAGCGGCGTCCGATCGTCCAGAATAGCCTCCACCTCGTACTCACCAGTGAAGTGGTCCGGTTCAAAGCTGTCTTCGGGTAGGAGTTCTTCATCGAAGTCTAGTCTCGTCCCATCCGTGACGTCAGTTACTAACCGAGCCTTCGGTCGGTCCCCATACGCGTTCACTTTCTTCAGTCGAGACACATGAACGACTGGGTAGAATCTATACCCACTCCGGTCTGGTAGAGCCAGCTCATACGCGTACTCGTCCACCTTCTTCTTGATTCGGAAGGAGCCATGCCAGCGATGTGCCCAGTTCTTCGTTAGCCCCGGTTTCACACGCTCCATGTAGAGCCAGACACGATCACCCTGCTCGAAGAGCGACTTCGAGGTTTCGGCCGACGAGTCATCGGTCGGGTTCGTCGTTTCAGTGTCTTCACCTGAAGGTTCGGTTCGGTCAGACGTCGGCAGAGATTCTCGTTCGCGTCGACTCAGGGTCTCGTTATACTTCTCGGCTCGTTTGGCCTTCTCTGTCGCCTGGTACGCTTTGGCCATCTCCAACGCGATCTCCTGTTGCCGATTGACTTCTCGTCTCCAAGCCAAGGCGTCGGTTTGGCGACGCGGCCTCGTTTCAGTGACGAAGACATAGCTCGAAGTGTCGTCCGCGCATCCCAGCCGTATACAAGGTAACGGCGTGTCCTTGCGCGTGGCGTCCTGCAAGTTGTTGATAGCAAAGATCAGCTTCTCCACGATCTCATCCCAGTCCTGTTGCAGCGGGTCTTCCGGGTACACTCGGACGGACTGTATGGCAGTCTTAACCGAGCGTTCCTGCTGGCCGCTGGCTTGTGGCCGATAACTCAGGGTGGCCCGAGACCTCGATTGCATCATTTCCGTAAACGCTTGGAAGACTTCGCCCATGAAGCGAGGGTCTCTGTCATGTCGGATGAGGGTAGAAGCACCGAAGCTTCGGTAGACGCACTCTTCGAAAGCTTGCGTGACGCGTAGGGCTGAGGTGTCGGCCATGGCCTTACCTATTACAAACCCCGTGAATACACACTGGAACAGCAACCGCGCCGGGTTCCCTCGCCGAGTCCTCGACAGGGGAATTACGAAATCCATCGAGACTATCTGCAACGGCCTTTCTGCTAAGATGTTGCCCGGCGAGTATCCGCGAAGTTGCGGACGGCTCTTACTTGAGCTACAGTCTGGGCACGAGCCTACGTGTCTTTCGGCGTCCGCAAACAACCCAATCCAGTAGTAGTCAGCTTTCCCTCGGTGGTACGTTCGGGTGATGCCGTGATGGCCTCCCTCGAGCGAGTCGTGGCAGCTTTGTAGCACCTCCTGTACCATCGTGGTTAGTACCACCACCCGCAATGTTGACTCCTCGGACCGGTCACGACCTGACCGACGGTTCGAACCGAGGAAATACAATAGTTCGTCCTCACTCAGCACAAACTTATGGGACATCTTCCAGGCCTCTCGTGCTGCTTTGTAACCAAGTTTCGCCTCGTCGCCTTTCAATACCGTCTTGAGGTTCGACCACCGAAGTTCCTCGTCCTGAGCCGCGCCGATACGCCGACGGCGTTCCTCCTGTACTACCACAGGGTCAATATCCTCAGCGCTCGGTTCGGGAACTACCGTTGCGTCAGGTCTCGGTTGTGTTGGTTGTTCCGAGGGTTCGGCATCGTCGTCTCGGTCGGGGCTGCGTCCGGGCTACAATCTTCCTGGTTCATCACTTGTTCTTCGTCTACAAAGCGGATCCGCCTCTCGCGTTCTCTCGCCTGTCGCCTCTCGCCTGGTCACTACCGATACATATGGCGGTTCCCGCACGAAATCGAAAAAACTCTTGCGACGGATCGTATCTGATGCGTCAAGTACTCGGATCGAGCTCACTACACATGGGGTCTCTTCCTTGGACCTTTCTGCTGACGAGGTATCGGTTGGCGGTTCGTAGATAACCTCTTGGATGCGGTTCAGCTGAACCAGCTCTCCAATCCGAGTCTTGTCGTTCACAGTCACCGAAACCTTTTTTTCAAAGTCTCGCTCGCTAAAGAGTCTGCTGCAGCGTTGAACTCGCGAACAACGTGCAGGTACTTCACTGACCGAAACTTCGTTCTCAGTTCTTTGTGTCGGGTGAGTTGTGCCATCAGTGTTTCCTTACGACATGCAATCACCCCTAGGGATTGCTGGATTGCGAGGCTCGAGTCTCCGACGATAACCAACTCCCCAGCCCCGGTTTCTAAGGCTGCGGTCATGCCGTTGTTCATTCTCGACTACTCGGCTAGATTCACAGTCGTAGCCTCGAGATAAGCACTCGCAGCGATCACTATCGACCAATCCGGCAATTTCCACAGAATCCATGCACAACTCCCGTAATCCCCATGTTTCTCAGTTTTAGCACAGCCAGCCATCGAAAGAGAGCACATAGCCACTGTAGTCACGAGGCAGCCGTGCGTACAGCAGATGAGGATCCATCCGAACACTCAGTGAGCCACGTGTCGGTGGAGTCACTGGTTCCAACGAGTCCTCGAGGTAGACGACACTTGTGATTGACGACTGGAGGAGTTGTGCAAAGGCACAATCCTTCTCCTTAACGCGCGTAACGACCAAGTGCCACGGAGACAGCAGCACCGCAAACTGGGTCGCACGTCCGAACAGAGACTTCGACTTGTGAACCCATTCGAGCGTCGAAAACGTGGATGGTCCGACCTGCGAGCTGTGTGTAACACACCTTCAATAACTGCAGCAGCGTCACAACCTCATTCTCAGCTGGGTGATAGTTTATTTCGGCGTCCTTGGGTACTCGGCCACAGAACCGCACCGGGTGCATCATTCCGTCGTGCTCTTGCATGAGCGTTGTGCTCAGGGCCCACTCGTATACGTGAACCGCGCGGTCGCGGTCGAAGTGTCGCAGTATCGGCGCGTCCGCAACCTTCTGTTGCAGTGCAGCGAAGCTTCGTCTCGGGGCCGAGAGGTCGCCTCCGGCTGAAAAGTCTTCGTCCTTGAGCTCGTAGAGCGTGGCACCGTACACTGCAAAGTCCTGGATGAATCGACTGTAATAGTTGAGTGAACCCAAAAACGCTTGCACCCCCTTCTTTGACCGTGGAAACGAGAGCTCGGTCAGAGCCTTCAGTTTCTTCGGGTCGCCTTAGATGCCGTTGTGTGTTACCACGTGGGACAGGAAGTCCACCCGCGGTTGCACGAAGATGCTCTTGGTGAAGCTCACACTAATACGGCACTCTTCGAACCGTGCCAAGGGTCGGTCCAACGTAGCCAGACAGCTATCGAACGACTCACCCCCGAAACAGATATCGTACACGAAGGATCTTCGCTCGAATACGGGCACCAACGAGGATCTATCAGGCTCCCCATCGGCAAACATGTCGGCGAGAGAACTGTTGATCAACTCTGGCACAGCATTCCCGACACGACCAACTCCAAGCCCCGCCTCGAACTTGGTGGGCGAGGGCTAGGTCCGAGACTTCGGTGCAACCGACGGTTCGGTCCGGTCTGGAGTGGACTCCTGGTCATGCGCCTCTGCTTGTTCCATCAGTGTCACAAAGTGGCTCCATCCACCTTTCGGCTGGACGAAGCCCCGCAGCGCGTTGTCTAGCATCCTCTGATATATCATGGGCGCGTTCTTGAGCCCGAATCGCATCCGGAGCCACTCGAAATGGCCCAAGGCGCACACAAACGCAGAGATCTGACGTGATTGCTGCGTCATCATGATAGCCCAAAACCCGCTCGCAGCGTCAAGCGAGCAGTACCACAATCACATCTCCAGGTCGGTGAGCAGGTCATCGACCAGAGGCATCACATACTCCATGATTGCGGTGATCGCGTTCACTGTGACGGGGTCACACAGCACAATGCACAGAGGAAGTGCGTGTGAATATTACTATCCAGGTGAACAGCAGTTCACCAGTTCCCGGCCTCTAAGAGAACGGTTTGCTACAAAGGAGTAGGTTATAAGACTGACTGTATTTCGGTAGAGGTTAACTCGGTCTTAATACAAACTACAAGTTAACTATAATGAAGCCCACACAACTCAAATGGTTGGCTTGCGGAGGTACTGGTACCATGTACCATGTACCCGGGAGAGTGACACCCGTCACTCTTCATGTAATGGGTACACTTGAATGTACCCCGTTACATCCTCCCCCACTTAACTGAGAATCACATCTGATTCTCCAATCAGCATCGAGAATATCCGAACACCCAAAGGTCGAGTTCTCGGGCGCTGCCGCCGCAAGACTGGCGCAGAGTGCCTCAGCACGGGATGCATGTGCCTCCAAACTTGCGGTGCCTCTCGTAGACCACCAGCAGTTGGCGTCGCATGGCCCTTGGGCCCTGCTGGCACATTCGTGCGGCGGTGTCTCCCGCGAGGGACGGCACCTTTCCGGTCAGCGCGTAGCGTAACCATAGAGAGATCTCCAGCCGTGACAGCGGCCCCACAGGGCCCCGCTCGTCACAGCACGGTGTGCTGGTCGGCCGAAT